CCGGCGGCTGCCACCACGATGGCCACCACGGTCACCATCAAGGTTACCACCACGGCCATCACCACCACCGTGGCAACCAGAAGAGCCACCACCAGGGCCACCACCACCACCAGCACAGCCACCACCACACCTACTGCTATAGCCACTGCCACCATGGCCACCACCACCACCACAGACACCAGAACCACCGTGGCCACCACCTCCATGGTCACCACCACCACCCCAGCCACCTCCTCTCCCCCGTGGCCCCCACCGCCCTCGCCCGTCACCTTGATGAGGTCGATGAGGAGGGAGGACTTGAACATCCAGTCGAGCTTCATGTCCTCGTTGCGCAGGAGGTCCTCCAGGCTGCCGCGGGAGCAGTGCACCGAGACGATGGCGAAGATGCCGCAGTCGTGGAAGAAGCCCAGGAAGAGGTTGACGTTCTCGTGACGTAGGTCACGGAGCTGGCCCGGGCCAGAGGACACGTGGGACGGGGGGCCCAGCTTTGTCCCTGGGGCCTGGGGTTGTCCCCTGTGGCCTCCTATGGTCCAGAATTGTCCACCCACGGCCTCATGTTGTCCTACCATGGCCTGGTGTTGACCTCTATGGCCTCCTATGGTCCAGCATTGTCCCCCAAGGCCTGATGTTGTCCTACCACGGCCTGGTGTTGACCTACATGGCCTTCTGTGGTCCAGCATTGTCCACCCATGGCCTCACCTTGTCCTACTGTGGCCTGGTGTTGACCTCCATGGCCTTCTGTGGTCCAGCACTGTCCCCCATTACCTCATGCTGTCCTACCATGGCCTGGTGTTGACCCCCATGGCCTTCTGTGGTCCTGCATTGTCCACCCACAGTGTCACCTTGTCCTACCATGGCCTGGTGTTGACCTCCATGGCCTCCTATGGTCCAGCACTGTCCCCCATGACCTCATGCTGTCCTACCACGGCCTGGTGTTGACCCCCATGGCCTGGTGTGGTCCAGTATGGTCCCCCATGACCTCATGCTGTCCTACCATGGCCTGGTGTTGACCCCTAT